ATAATGAATCAGGGTGACAATATAATAACATAGATAATCGTTAAAGCCAAAGAAGATTTATCAAGAGTTGTCAATAATATTAATAAATTTTAAGACGAGAACCTCTGTAACTATATTTACACAAAGCGGCCCCGCCTCCTCACCCCAATGTATGCGGTTGGAGGTGCAACAGCGATACCAATACCTACACAAAGCGGCCCTGCCGCCTCACCACAGTATGTGCTGGTGGAGGTGTAACAACGATACCAATACCTACATAAAGATGCCCTGCCGCCTCACCCTAATATGTGTATGCGGATGGTGGTGTAACAACAGTACCAAAATCCTACACAAAGCGGCCCTGCCTCCTCACCCCAATATGTGCGGGTGGGGGTGTAATCCCAATAACAATCTCTACACAATTTGACATAATAATTTTCATATGTAACACGACTTGGAATTATAACATGTAGATACACAATCCATAGTTTGGAACACATCCTTAATCAATAATACAACATAATAAGAGCATACAAACACGAATTGAACATATATCTTTGTCACAAAGCTTATTCGGAATAATCGATTTATGATAAACATCTTGGAATTTACATGGGTAATGTTGGGTTCAATTCTTAGAGAAGAGTTTAGCCATCATACCTCACTCGAGCTCCCTTAAACTCTAAAATGTTCCGGAAATCTTATCAACTCCAATCTATTTTAGAAATGTAAGCTCATTTGAGCATTTTGGCAAATACTAGGAATGCATTAAGGTTTCAAGGTCCTTTTTATAGAGGATTTCATCATCCCACAACCCATTCTTTATTATTTTAGCTCAACAATCTCCCTAAATCCCATGATCACACATGCATGCAAAATAAATAACTCCTATACCCATGAATTATCTTACTAATTGCCCATTCTAGTTAAATTTCGAAATTAAGAATTAAAGTATAGAATCTTACCTCTAGGATGAAGGCCTAGTGTATTTTCCTTGTTAATCTTTCAGTATTTGAGTAGGAATTGGTGGATGAAGCTTAGGAACTCCCTTTCTCACTCTATGTCATTCACTTTCTCTAAAATATATGTTTTTTCCCTTTAAAATGATCTCCAAGGGTGTTTTATTAGAATGGGATCGGGTTTAAAAATTAGAAAAATAGGAGTCCCGATACAGGTCTGCGGTCGCATATGCGATCGCATAATGCTTCTGCGATCCGCGAAATGGCCCTCCGGAACTGGGCAGGTCTGCCTCACTCTGCGGCCATTATGCGGTCCACAAACTTGTTCTGCGGTCGCATAATGCGCCACAGAACCTCCCTCCAAAAAATTTCTATGCTGGATCAACGATCGGTGTGCGGCCGCAAAATTATTTTACGGTTGCATAATTGGCCGCGAAATGACATCCCAAAGTTTCCCAATTGACTACCTCACTCTCCGGCCATTGTGCGGCTGCATAGTGGGCCACAGAAATGCTGTTTTCTGCCAAGCATTTTATGGGGGTTTTGGAAAATATTTACGGGGCCTTACAGGCATGCTCCCATTTCATCGACGAGGCCTCTTTTTGAGCTTTTTCCAGCTCGGCTTGGAGGACGGGGAGGTCCTCGAGGGCCTCATCTTTTTGCTCACTGAGAGCTTTGTACATGTCCTTCTGCCGGACCTGCTCTTTGAGCTCAAACTTGAGATGACCCACCTTTATCTGAGACCGATGGAAGCTTTCATGATAAAACACCGAGGACTGAGGAATTAAAAGGTTAAAACCATTAAAATATGATAAGGCTAAATGGACCCTTTAAGGATATAAGGAAAGGGAAACATACCCTGTTCATCGCCTGTTATGCCTCGTTGAAGAGGCTCGGTGAGCCCACTTCATTCATCTTCGCTTGGTCCTATTCAGTTACCAAGCAACGAAGGTAGCTGACTGCTCCAACCGGCCCAGATAGCATGCTAGTATTCACCGGTATTGTAAACATGATCGTTCTCTTACGGTCAGGATCCGCACTCGGGGTGGGGAATTGCTTCATAGGCTTTGGACTGGAGCTCGGCCCACCTGACTCCGGCAGCACCTCATTCCTAGGGATTTCGAGGTGGAAAGAATCGGAGTAGTCCTCCAGTGCACCGACGTCTATGCCTTCAAAAACAAGTTAAGGGCCACATCTGCAGCCCGTATTGCCTCGGTCCGCTTTTCTCTAACGGCCCGGGCCTCGTTGAAAAGGGACTCCGTGTGAGACGGTGACTCCGGAATGTCAATGACATCGGCTGCCTCTCTCGGAACCGAAGTAGTTTCTCGGAAAGTAGTAGCCATGGGCTTCCCCTCAGGCTCCCGAACTGAAGAGGGCTCGGCCTCATGGTTGCCTCCCGCCGGTGCTACCTGCTCTTCGACAGCAATGGCTGGCTCATAGGTGACAAACTCCTTGTCATCATTTTCAGGGCAATCCCTGAGCCGGTAAAGAGAATCAGGGTCCGGTACCCTGGCCTGAGTACGCTTTTTGGTACTCTTTCGGACCCTGACCGTGACCCTTTTTTTCTTGGCCTCGGATGAAGCATCTAGGGAGCTAGAAGACCCCCTCTTTCTTCTCTTTTTCTACTCCTTCTTCACAGCGGCCTCAGTGGCAGGCTATCTCGAAGCGGAAGGTTTTGCAGACGGGGACATGGTCTCGTCCTCCTCCACCACCCAAAGCTCGGTGGTCTTGGGAAAACCTGTGGATGGAAGGAAGGGATTTAGCCAAAATGCCAGTTAAATGAAAGGGGAAATAAATATGTAAAAGAAGAATACTTACCATGGGAACGGGCCTGCCATTTTCCTTTTGAAAGCTTGTATCACTCGTGCTCGAAGTATGTTAATTGCTTACAGATCCCCTTAACCAACGGCTTGAAATGGGCAACCGCTGCACATCAAGAATGTCGGGCGATGAGGAAAAAAGAATAAATTCAAAGAACTATTTTAACAACTTGGGTAAAGAGGAACTTACGTGTTAGGTTCCACTTCTTATGGAACGACAGGAACTCGGGGGGGAATGAGATCCTCGATCTTCACCCGAACAAATCTCCCCTGCCAGCCTCGATCCTTGTCTTCTTAGATGCTCGAGAATGGATCCTTCTTTGCCCGTCAGACAAGCTTGATTAATCCCCCTCGGAAGATTCAGGGACTGTAGATGTGAAGCAGATATTCGATGGTAAACCGGGACTCCTCCGTGTTATTGATAAAATGACGGAGGAGAATCATGATCCTCCAAAAAGGTGGGTGAATCTTCTCGAGGCAGACCTCACGCCCTTTGCAGAAATCAAGGACTATTGTATCCATCGGGCCAAGCAAGAAGGGGTACATATTAACACTTAAGTACCCCTTACATGCGTGGTGATGTCCTCATCAAGGCCAGTAATAACTACTTCCTTGCCCTCCCATTGCAATCCTCCCAAACCGTCGGGAGCGTGTCTTCGGAGATGGAGCATATATACCTCCACACCTCCTCACCTCAATCTCCCTGCTCGGAGGCTTTTTCGACTTTAAAGTTGTTGTCTATAGAGTAGCCTCCAGGGATAAAATTCTTAAGGGGAGGTTCCGGGGTTGCTTTCGGGAAGACGACTTCGACATCTGCAGCCGAGTTAAAAATTGAAGGGGTCGTGTGTTGAGGCACATATTTTGAAGTCTTTGCCATCGTTATATGAGAATATGAAGGTTTGAAGATGAGAATGAAGGTTTGAAGATGGGTATGAAGGTTTGAAGGTCGAACTTGAAGATTCAAAGACGAAATATGAAGATTGGAGATGAAGAAATGAAGATGTGAAGAACAATGTATGAAGATTTGGAGAAACTATGAGCAAATAAAAAGTTCGGGGGTAACTTAAGAAGGTTTGAAATTGGAAAGAAAAAAAGTGAAAAAAGGAACCGAATCTTTTATAGGAGGGAGGTAATTAATGCGTGACACTTCGCATTCGAGGATGGTCAACCAACTGCTGGCACATATCCGAAGTCAGAACGGCGCAGCTGATCGGACGTTTCAGTGACTCGTCAATCCGATCCCAGAACCAGAAGTCCTTTCTCATTACTAATATCTTCTCCTCCCTTCTCTCAAAATACCCCTAGAGACAGAAGAGGAAAAATCAAAGGGTTGACAACTTCTATTTCTTGGAAAGAAAAAAAATGGCAGACAACGAGAAAAAATATATTAAATAAATAAGCTCATGAAGAGATATTTTGATGGTCTGGGCATTGGTTGTGTAGAAAAAATCTAGAGAATTGCTATGAACACACTGTTTATGGTTTAGGAAGCTTATAAATGCTTCTCGTTCTCTGCATGTTTTTTCTTAAGAGACCCTCATTAGTCATCTCATCACCTATTTTTCTTATCCAACAGACTTGGTTGTAAATTATCACCCTCTATTTTTCTGATTGAAATTGCAAACATCCACCTCCACCTCATTAGTGCTAAACAAGTCAGGAAAAGTTTTACCACAAAAAAAAAAAAATCAATTAGAGAAATCACATAAATATAGTTATTACTTCTGAAAGTTTTCATGTCTCTGCGAAATAAGGATCATGTTATTGTTGCACATACCCGTTGTGTTCGATATATCCTTGTAACCGTTAAATGCATGCATATTATTATTGACCAAAGTTGACCATTGAAAATTTTTGTAGCTTTTGTTTCTACTTGCATTGAGAATTTTTCTTATTATTGAATAAGTGAATTGTGATTTCTATTAATCCATATATGTCACAAGGAGAGGTCTGGCGTTGAAAGGCTTATTAATGGAAATTACATTTATCAAGAATCATAGATCCTGAATTTGAAGTTTATGGATCGACCCCTTGTTTGCCATCGAACCCACAACCCATTTATGCTATATTCAGTAAATTTCTCAACACATATATATAGGGTCTGGGCTAGTAGAGCTATTGAATTCTCCAACACCGTACCATATAGTGTACATCCGCCTAAATATATAACTTTAAACCAAGGGAAGAAAGCAAAACTAAAAATGAGAATGTAATAGAGGAGGAGAGTATCAAGAATTTTGCACTACTATAAGATCAATAGATTAATCATCTTATCCCAGTTCATGTATTATATGGAGAAAATTTCTAAACCTTTGAATCAAGATTATTAGAACCTTCTTCTTCCTTTGGAACTTGTTGAAGAGAGAGTTCTTCCATTTCATTCATGGAATGGAAATTGGGAGCAATTCCAATAACATTGCTACAATTGGTCTCTAATTTGTTGTTAGAAACGATATCTTCTTGCTCCAATTCATCACTGCTCTGCGAAGGTGTCAATTTGGAAGCCCTTTTTATTTCTTGGTTCTTCCCCCACAGCACCACGTACAATCCAAATATTATTATTGCAGCTCCTATAACACTAATCCATACTAAATAAAGTCACATTCATAAACAGAAAAAAATAATTAATTGTACATAGTTAAGGGAATTATGAGAGTCTCCGACCCTAAACATAAGTCATAAATTGTTAACTATTACACTTCCTTTTAAGTATTTAGTGTTTGCTAAAAGTCTACTCCCTCCGGTCTATAATAAGTGATTTTTTTTGGATATTTTCACACAAACTAAGAAATCCACCTTTTAACATTAATTAACAATAAAATTGACCATATTAACCTTTACTATCTCTTCACATAAATACCCCTATCACATACTCCAACATTATTTAAACCAAGGGCAATGTAGGAATAAAATAATTAATTCATTCTTGAAATCTAGCAAAATCACTTATTTTGGACCACAAAAAAAGCCAAAAAATCACTTATTATGGACCAGAGGGAGTATTCTTCGGAAGTACTGACTTTTTTAATGTTCTAGTTGTTATGATATACTATAAAACTATTTCCATTTTGCATATGGAAATACCACTATTTCTTAGTTCATGTGCCGTAAATTAATGATTTCCTTAAACAACAAGAGTAAAATTCTAACCTAGAACTTCAAACAACTAAATATTGAGCTATGACAATTGTGTATTCAGTAAGTACGGAATTTGCTAATGTAACTAACATTTCTAGTTTAATGCAAACCCGGTAAGATAAAATCACCAATATTAAACTGCTAAATAAAGAAAAGAAAATTACAACGATCTAATAAAAGTAAATTATAGTACACTATAAATGGATAGCAAAATAAATACCTTCCCAAGTGTAATTTCTCGTTGAGAAATAAGAAACTGGCAATGGCAACACATACAAGCATTAAAGGAGTGAAAATAGACAGGAATAATGGACCTCTCATTCTTACACAAAACATCAAAAAGATGATTGTTATTCCAGAAGCCACTATCCCCTACACCAAAGAAAATATAATTATGTAAAGTTTATTTCTAATATTTATCGTCATTAAAATGCTAAATATTGTAAGGTGTTTTTTGGTACAACGTAAGTCATTATTTGGAAAAATAATTTTCATGCGAAAATTATTTTCTAACTTTTAATTATCAGATAAAATTTTCCACGAGAAATAACTTCTATTAAACCAAACACACTCGTAACGGAGAATAAAACATACCGCATAAGCTACTATAAGTAGTCTAAGGTTCCATCCTAATTTCCATTGGCTCCAATCTCTCTCAGTACAAAGTGCAAAAACTCCAGCTTGAAGTGCTCCCATAATGGAGATTAGGGCAGTGCTAGAAAAATGACAAGGATACAACTCACTCATCTTCGCCTACATTGTACATTAGCAAATAAATAAAATAGTTAACAATATGTCTAATCATCAATTTTTACATACTAATATTACAGAAAATTACATTTTCAATTATGTCTAATATGGAAAATACTCTAGCAATCATATTCATCTATTTGCAATTTGCAAATAGGAGGTTAAAATTTTCCAATCACGCTAATTTCTTTTAAAATGTTATACCCTCCTCCCCGAAACCAAAAAAAAGATTCAATAGTTTTTAGCTTTTACTGTGCACTATGTAGAAAGTAAATAAAATAAGAACAAGTTTTAGTTTGCTCATTACCTGAAAAATGAGGGATAATGCTGTGGAAAAGCAGCTACAAATAGCCAAAATAGGACCCAAAATATGAGCATATGGTTTTTGGTGTTGGTGGGAAGCTGCCATCTGTCCACTAAAGACAACTTTGGTTGACCAAGTTTTAATTTCCAAGCCTTTGTAAAAAGTGAGAAGCATAGCCCCACCTATTCCAATTAATGTTCCCAACGCTTTTGCCTGCCCTGCCCTTGTTTTCAAACCCAACTTCTCCAACCTAAACAAATATGTCCAAATATACACCAAACCATTAGTATACCTCACAAGAGAGGTGATTCAATATTTAAATTTTATGAGTTACTATAATTTTTAAAATTGGTAGAGTTTTTGTTATTGAATCCGTTACACTTTTAAAATTATAAGTTCCTGTTAGAATTTCTATTGTTGAATCAGTTACACTTTTAAAATTATAAATTCCTATATAATAGTCATTACAATTTTAGTAATATCATGCATATCAATCTATGTTCAGTATCGAAACTAATAATTCTGTTGAATCCATATACTCCATCCGCCACTATACATGTATATCTATGTCTACGTCTATGTTAGAATCAGGGGCGGAGCTAGCCCTCCACTTACGGGTTCGGCCGAATCCGGTAGCTTTTGTGAAGACTTGTATTTGTCTTATGAAATTCATGGAATATATACAAATTATTTTTTTAGAACCCATTAACTTAAAAGAACTAGAATCCCGAATCCATAAGCTTCAAATCCTAGCTCTGCCTCGGTTAGAGTAGATAACCACACCGTCACATTATAATTTTAGGTTTCAAAATTTAAAATGCATTCATTCGATAGTTTTACAGGAAAAATTATTTTGCTTATTGAAACGTTTAAGATTTTTTTGAGTGTCTAATGGTTGAAAGAGGAGTTTCTTGAAAGCACCCTTAAACCATATCTTAGAAAACAGTTTCTGGAAAACATATTTTTTTCTCCATTTTTTTTTTTTGGCTAAACGGATACATTTTATTGAAAGCAGTAAAAAAGTCAAGAAGTATCATTACAACAAGGAACTAATCTGAGAGATGTCTTCTTCAAACAACTAATTAAAAAAACATGAAATTGGAAAATTGAAATATATACCTAAAGAAAATGGCTATAACGAAAGTGATGCCAGGGATTAGATTAATCATAGCTGTAGCAAAAGTTGCTGAAGTTAGGACTAAACTTGCTGCAAACAAATTTTGTGCCATTGAACCCCTGCGTTAATTGTAAATACCAAAATTAGAAATGAATGCATATATAGTTAAGGTCAGACATCTAACTTAATGAAAGCACTAGTACGAAAACGAGATTACAAGTATCTAGTAAATTGCTAAGCTTTACATTAAATACGAAAAACTTTAAGAGTCAAAATGACATGCTTTGGAAAAACAAAAGTTGCATGGTAGTCATCTTCAATAAATATTCCACTTGTTTTATGTTTCAGGAGTTCTAAGTAGGCGTGTAAGACGTTTTAAAATATTTGACAACATATTCTTGAAATGTTGGACATCTGTTTAAATGAACCAAAATTAGAAATTAAACAGCATCATTCTTGAAAACTTTCATATGTCTATACGAAATTTAATTTCATAACAAATTAAATTTCAATTTAATATTTATTTTATAAGTGATAAATCAAATCAAATTCTTTTTTCGTCCAATCAAATAGTGTCACATAAAATTGAACAGTGTCATAAAAGCAGTGCATGTTTTCGGTAGAAAGTACTAGCAAGTAGTTTTTTTTTTCTTTGGAGAGATCGCAAAAATCAATAAAAGGTTTTGACAGTGGAGAAGAAGAGTCAAGAAAGAAAAAGTTTTCCTTTAAAGATAACTGAATATTCAATTCGTGAGTTGTTTTTATGCTGTCATTCACATTGCACCTATTAGTGAATTGAATGAAGTAATAGAACTTACCCGAAGAGTGCACAAAGAAATGCAAGCAACATTACCATCCATGTCAATTTTGGCCTAATCTTCCTACAAATAGGAAAGAATAGCGATAGGCGCATCAGATTCAAGTCAATTGTGTTTTGCAAAAGTGTAAAAATTCAAAATACATTGATGAAACTTTAAAGTTGAGTTGCTGCTCGAAATGTGTGGACAAACATATTCGAATTTTATCCAAAATCTTTCAACAGATTTCTATTTTAATTAATTTGCATCAAACGTACACTTAATTTAATTTGCTTGAACCTTCTTGTAAACAATAAACATAAAAGATACTCTGAATTAAAACATAACATTACACTGAGTAAAATCCTTCGTTTAGCGAGGTGATGTACAAACAAACCAAACATGATTATTTTTCTTAAAAACGAGGCCTCTTAGAAGATAGCAAGACTTAATATTTGTTTTCCAACAAAAGAAACAATGGCTATCCAAAATGAATAATATAAATAAATTCCACTACAAGGGCTTTGATTAACAAGCCAAATACAGTCTATAAGTTACATCAGGATTTTATCCTAGAAGCGTTCACTCTGGACTCTCTAAGACAACCTATTTTATTTTTTAAAAAAGAAAATGTAAAGAAAAGAATGCCTCAACTAATAAAATCCAGGTGATTGTTTTTCTAAGTCATATTGAAGAGGGTTATTCAGTTCCTGTGCATGTGAAAGATAACCTCAGGGTACTTGATAAAATAATTGATGCGTACAAATTGAGTAGACACAGCTATCAAATAGTAAAATATATATATATATATATATA